AAAGGTCCCGTAGGCTATTTGTACCAGGGGACAGTACAATTACATCATATGCATATGAAAAAGCAAGATATCGTTATATTAACTGGGTGTATCGAAGGCAGTCAGCTAGTAAGCTATTAATTTTTATTATACAAAGCTTATTCCCTTCATGAACTCTTTAGTCAGTACCATCCTGCGGATGACTGGAAGCTGACAGGTCTTCTGATTTCGTGGTTAATGGCGCAAATTAATTTATTTATTAAAAATCCAATGTTCGACCCAATTGTCATCGTCAGGGGATGTTTCGTTTAGCGTTGTTGAAATAAAAAATCACCGGAAAGAAAATAATTTCCTAACAGGCAGCCCTGTTGTGCTTCTTTCTGACAGAAAACACAAGTTCATATACAAAAAACATTTTTTGAATAGACTCTGAGATTTGAGGAGTGATCATTTCATTTCACACATGCAAAATCAGTGAGGGGAGCATAATAAACTAACTAATCTAAATGAGATCTAGTTTCACATGGAACAGCACCTACTGACACCAGTGCTTCATAGTTACTGCTATTATTCATTAGGGGATAATGATACAGATTTGCAAATGATAACTTAGTCAGGTGTCGGTCCTACCACCGTCTGATATTATTTCTTTTCTCTTTGTCCTTTTAAATAATGTAAGTGGTTCTCGTCTTTTGGAAAGGTTTCTTTCTCGGTTTCTTTTATTGCATCTGCTATTTTCGGCTTCGACAAAGAGGACATTCACAAGTTAATTTTACCTATTAATAACAATGAAACTAAAATAAATAAAACTGTAGACCCGAATAAGAATAAAGCCATTGCCGTCTGACTGAGCAGCAGTCACAGTACTTGTGAAACAAGGAAAATGCATTCATTGTTCAACTCTTCGTAAGCGTTCAGAATTTATGATGTTGGTCGAGTAGGTGGGCTTCCAGTTAGGTAGCTCAGAATAGCACGTAACCACCACAGGACTTTTCTTCGCCTCTATTTTTTTGTCATCATCCTATCATATTCTTTTTAAATTAATTCACTTTTGGGTATCATTTTCACCATATTCTCAGATCCATGCTAAAACGGTTCATACTTTGTTCAGACTGATGTTGCTCCTTAAAATATCACATGCCGTTTCCTTTTGATTTCCATTCGTTCCCATGGCATATTTCAGGGTTTCGATTACTTTGCAGCCTCATGTAGTTCTCGGGTTTGCAATGGTTAGCCGAGTTGTGTTGTCTCTTTTCTGTCGTTTTAGTTCGTCTTTAGCGTTTAAACTACTCTTAGTGCATCCATTATAAATTTGATTCAGATATGTTCCATTTTGTGACCTCGCAGCTGTACCTACAGAATTGTTCAGGATTATCTGTAAAAAAATATCCCTCACCGAATTTTGCAACGATTCTTGGGGAACATGACATATCTCTTTCGGAAACTTGTAGTTAGATTCCAGGTCAGATATATTAACAAGATTTTGAACAGAAATCGTTGCAAGCATTTATAGAAGAAATATCTTAATTCTGACGCTTTGGCCTCAAAACGGAGACGTACTTCATGGAATAATGTTAGTTTAGAACAGGATCAGCAGGTACCGTAAATGCACAAAAAGCACAGAATGCACGAATGCTTAAGGGTGGAACAAATTTACTTGTGGGAAGTAGGAAAACCGGTATTACTTTAAGGAGGGAGTGAAAAGTATTAAAAGATTAATCACTAGGCTGGGTGATCAAATAAATTGATCTACTTTACCTTTTTAGTAAAAAATATTGTGTAGTGAAACGGGGGTGCAGCGGCCTTAGTTTGTTTTGCACTTTGAGATTGCCAGGTTCAGACCACATATGTAGCGTATATTTTCTGTTATAAACTGCAATTTTCCTTGCGCAGTAAACTGACCCGACGTTTTTCAATGCAGCTAGCCAAGAAATGCGTAGAAAGTGCAAGTTGTTTTCCTGCCACTAATGGGTGCAGCATGGTGCTCTGGTGTGGTCGTACCTGAGCTTGCTAGATTTACGACCATTAGTTTCATGTTTGCCTTACGGCTACAATTCTTCCTCATCTACGTTGTAGCTGACCAAAAC